GACGTACTCCTTGACGATGATGTCCTCCTTCTCCTTGTTCTTCCTCCAGCGAGGAAACACCAGCCTGGGCAGACAAAATGGGGAATGAGGAGCTCTGACATGCTCCAAGTAGGAAATCTAGTCAGAAAGCAATCACCCTTCCTGGTGGCTGAGGTTCAGCCTCCCAGCTCCCAGCAGAGGAAGAGATGCTGGGTGCCTCAGGCAGCACCATCTGCCCCAGCCAGAAGGTCACAAGGGGCAGCCCTGGCTCTGAGGTCGGGGGTGCAGTGTGGGATGCTCCCGTGGCCCAGCCTTACCGTGGGTTCTGGCTGATGCTGGGGTACAGGGCAGTGGCACTGCAGGGTAACTGGTACAGGCGTTTTGACCCCAGGATCTCAAAATTCATCATCTGGTCAAACTGCCCTGGCATTGTGGTGCTGAAGCGGATCTTCAGTTCCACCTCCCCGTGGGCAGGAACAATCCACCGGAACTTTCTCAGCCTGGCAGTTAAAAAGGAAGCTTCAGACATTGCTAAGGGGCAAACGAGACAAGGAGGAGGGCTGTGCACTCGCCATCCCACGGAGGCACTGGCAGAGGGTCGCTGCGGAGCTGAGGACAATGGACCTTGCTTGGCAAGATGAGCGTGAAGCACAGGGATCACCTCCTCCCCTGCAGCTCACCTGGTAGGTCTCTCAAGGGTTGAGTCACTCTGCAGTTTGCTTTTCCTTGACTCAGGTGAACTTCTGGGTGTTTCTGGGGAGTGATCCCGGAGACTTTTCGGGCTCTGGGGAGAGTTCCGCTTTTCCTGGGGAGAGTTGCATCTGCTTGTGTCTTCCTCCTCCTTCAAATGGTCCTCTGCCTCTGCCTCTGGGGCCTTGGCATAAGGGGAGAGAGAAAAGGGAGAGAGAGGTGAGACCTGCCCTGAGACACCCCCATCCTGGAAAGCAGAATGGGGTTTGTTAGCCAACAGGAGAGAGAATAAATAATCACCACCTGCCCACGAACTTGGTCTTCCTTATTGGTCTTTGTCTTGCCTCGGACACCCCTCCTTACCCAGGACCCTCTCCCTGCTGAGGACCCTCTCATCAAGGCAAGTTGATGGGTTTAAGTGATTTTTTTTCCTGTTGTCTTACAGAACTGCTCTATGTCTATGCAGAGCCATCTCTTTTCCCTCATCCCTGGTGGAAAGGATGCCTGCAGACATGGGGCCCCATCACGTCTTCACTGCCCCTCCATGGTGACCCTTTTCCATCTGACCTGTTCCCTGCCCTGGCACCCTCACTGAAGGCACAAAAGGAGTACCCACCACATCATCTTCTGCAGCAGCACTTTCAGGTTCAACGAGGATGAAGTGTCTGAGGTCTTCTGCTGCTGCGGGGACCCTGTCCTCCTCTGGGTAGGGGACCACAGAGAAAAGAAAGCCTGGGAGAATGGGAGGCCCTAAGGGACCCAGTCCCAGAGAGTCCAGAATCTAAAACAGAAGAGAAAAGCCTGTTTATACTCCTGTCACCTTCATTCTCACCCTCCTTCTCTAAAGGCCCTGAGCTTTTGGCAGTGGAGTTTTTGATTTATATGGAGTACAAGTGCTTTTTTAAGCCCAGTGGGTTAGCAGGCTCCAGAGCAGGACCTACAGTGGGACCAAGAGAGAAACCTCTCCCAAGTGACTCAGGTGAAGAGAACAATGCCTGTGAGCTGCTCTGCCCTGGGACCATTTTTTATGATTTCCAGACTGAGAAACTCTCTAAACAGATGGGATGCTTGGACACAGAGCACTCCCACTTTCCACACATCTGAGGGAGGCTGAGAACATCCACATAGATACTGTGGAGCTATTGTGGAACATCATCAGTGCCTCGACAAGGCTCTGTGTTGTTATCACCTGGGGGACACACTGTTCCAGGGCCCCAGACCACGTCAAGCTCAGCATTTGAGCCTTGCAGGCTTTTACCTGCTTTGCTGGTGGCAGCTTCTTGCTCTTCAGGATCTTCTCAAACATGTTTTCACGACGCGTGATGCGGAAGTCCAAGCAGGGCACTCCGGTACTATGGCTTCTGACTTCCCCTTCCTGCTGAAGGCTCTTGTGGCTGCCATGTTCTTCCAAAGACTTCTTCTCTGGCCTTTCCAGAGACATACTGCTGCTCTTCTCACCTTTGTGTTTAGGGGAAGACTGGGACTTGTTCATGATACCCTGAACCCTGTCCCAGGATGACAGAATATGTCTGATCTCCTTCTGTGCAGACTCATAGATGTTAAACCTCAGGTCCAAGATCATGTCCCGCTTACTTGGGACCTCTGGGATTTTAGTTTCTTGCTGCTGTTGTTTTGCAGCTGCTGTTTTCCCCTTACGGACCTCTGGTTTTTTCGTTTCTTGCTGCTGTTGTTTTGCAGCTGCTGTTTTCCCCTTACGGATGTCTGCACTTTTCGTTTCTTGCTGCTGTTGTTTTGCAGCTGTTGTTTTCCCCTTACGGACGTCTGCGCTTTTCGTTTCTTGCTGCTGTTGTTTTGCAGCTGGTTTTTTGCTCTTCTGCTGGACCTCTGGGCTTTTGGTTTTCTTCTGCTTCTTTGAGGCTTTTGACAATGCCTTTTTTCTTTCCTCCTCCTCTCGAGCCAGCCGCTCCTGCTCTCTTCTGCAAGTCAAAGAGAAAACACCCCCGAGAGTCACTATCAGAAAAGTAATCCCAGCTGGCTCTGCCCTTCACTCCTTGACCCTGAGGCCAGGCAGAACTGTTAGACCATCTCTGTGGACCTTCCTCAACCCAGAGAGCTTGGGAACATCCCAAGTGAGGAAGGGTGGGAGGTGAAGTGCTGGGCCAGCCAAACCTAAGCCTTGCCATCATAAGGTATGAACTGTGCAACTTCTCCCCTGAGGTCCACCTGGACACCTCCAGCACGCTGCCAAAGGCTGATCCACCATCTCTCTGCAGTGATGACTGAAGCCCTCTCTCTCTTGGTTTCCCAGTTTAAACCTGCCCATAAATTGCTTAACACCTACTTATCCCTCCTCCAATGCTTACTTGGCTCCTTCTTCCCCCTTCTGCCTGGGCAGAGCCTGCTCATTAATGAGAATAATCATAGCAATCAGAAAGCAAAGGCTGCAGGAACTCCCCTCCTGCAAATCAGGCTCTGAACCACCAGGTTTCCTGCTGGAACACAGCTGTGACCAGGGCACACTTGTGCTGTCTGTCCTGGGAACTGATTTGAAGCAGCCCTGGCCATCTCCTCCCAGTTCAACAAACATCAGCCTGGGCTGAGAGAAGTGCTGAAACACAGGCTCGCTTTAAGCAGCTTCCCCTCCCAGCTCCACACTCTTCCTGTGCGTCCTCCTGAGCTGGGCTGCCCTGCTGGGCCAGAGCTTCTCCTGGGTTCACCTGCTGCTGCAGCTGAAGGGCAGCCTAAGCTTTTATGGATGGTGCTCCACCCTAAGGAAAGCCCTGACACATCAGCATTGCAAGGACTTCATCTAGAGCAGGACTGGGGTCTAAATCAAGCCAGCACAGCTGTGTCCCACACCAGCCCACACCACAATCCTGTGGGTTTGGTGAAGGAGGGGGATGATGAAGAAGATGAGAATCAACATCACACACTTTGAGACACTTCTGTGGGCAGTGGCAAGGCAAGCCCAGAGCCCAGCTCCCCACAGGCCATGTCTAAGCCAGAGGGCTCATGGCTAAAATAGAGAGAAGACATTCTCATCTCAACAGAGGAAGGTCCTTCCTCTCTTGGGAACTGGGGACCTGGACCTGGCCATCCTTTTGCTGCTTCTGGCCTTTGCTGCTGAACCCCTCTGAGCTCAACCAAGGTCCTTGGAGCAGAGAAACTCTCCGGGGACACTACCCTGAGGAGTAACCCAGAGGAGGTTTACTTACCTCTCCCTCCGCTCACGCTTGATTTTTTCTATTTTGTAATCAAGAAGAGCTTTCTGCTTCTCAGTGAGGGCTTCATACTCATCCACATCCACATCCCAGAGACGTTTTTCCTTTCTCCGGGCAGCTTCTTCCTTCTCCCGTGCTTCAGCACAGACCACAAGAGAAGCCATCAGTGACTGCAAGCAGAGCTTGGGGCTCTGGGTCAGCTGGGAGGATTCACAGCTCTTTCCTGACCCAGCCTCTCACCCTGCCAGGAGACACTGCGGAGCTCACATCCCTGCACCAGAATTCAGACAGCCCCCTAAACTGTGGCCTGGCTCAGGTGCACCATGGCTGTGGACAGCTGGCTGGGGGTTAGTCACTGAGCCACACCAGCTTGCACTTGCACCGAAGCTTTAATGATTGAGATTAAGGTGAGTCTTACAGCCTCAGCTCTGCTGTATTTAAAGAAGCTGTGAGCTGAGTGCTGGCTACACTGAGGCAGAAGGTGGAAAGATCAATAAAAAGATTTCTTACAAGCTCTGCTGCAAACCCAGATACACACAGCTAAGGGTGAGGGCTTGAGAGAGATTTGAGAGGGATGGAGATATCTCACCTTTCTGCTGTTTTTTAGCTGCCTTCTTCTCTCTTGCAGCCATCCGCCTGCCTTTCCAAAACTCAGAATCCTGGAAGATGTTGACGACGTGGATATGCGGGCGATTGCTGACAGCTTTGAGTATACACAGGAGAGAAGATGCCAGGCTGCTCGCAAAGAGGGTCTCCAGGCCATCAAAGACCACTCCCCTGTAGCAGTCGCTCAGCTGCCAGGACAGACAAACAGGAACAGCGAGTCAGCCATCGCAGATGTTGGGCTCGCAGCGGGTCAGTAAATGCAGATGTCTCAGGACACCAGCTGCTGTCATTCCAAGTGCATTAGCTAGGACCAGCTTGGGTCTTGCACTACACTCTGCTAACTTAGGGCATCTGCAGCTTCCCCCAAGGATCTCTGCATGCAGCACAGGTTCCTCCAGCAGCAGGCATACATACTCCTCTCTGAGTTGTACCTCACTGCCTGTCTCTCTGGAGCAGGAACGTCTCTGTTTCCTCCAAGCCACATACCTGCAGCCGTTCAGAGATGATCTCCACTAGCAATTCCTTGGGCAGCACACAGCTCAAACACTTCCTAATTTTCTCCTTTCTCCCCGTCCTGGTGAGGATGATGAATCGCTGTGGCGCAGGAGCGGTGGCACAGGAAATGGCTGTCATCTGCAATGTGGAACATGGTAAGGAAAATAAACCCCTGCAGAAAGCCCTGGACAGTTCCCACTGCTGGGCTCGGATCTGGGCTTCCTCTCTAGCGGAGACAAGGACAACCCTGCAGTGCAGGCTGGCAGCTGCAGGAGACAGCCCTGGAGGGCTCATCCCTTGGCCAGCAGAGACCCAAGCTTGCAAGCCCCCGGCACAGCCTCCCACAGCTTTGCTCGCCGCCTGCAGCCAAGT